TAAATAAACTGTATGAGAAAGCTACACTTCCACTAATGATTTAATCGGTTTATTGTAGCTATAAAAATAAGATAGGTGAGGGAAATAATTTTGTAGATGATAATTTAGGATGAAAGCATTTCAGTTATGCTAATAAATTATTTAAAGTTAAAAGTAAAAATCTTGTGCATTAAGTTAGAAGTTGCAAATAAAGTATTTTTAATTAAATTTGTGTAAGTTTTCTTGTTATTTTTCCCTTTCTCCTCCCTCTTAATTTTCTTTTCTGTTTTAATTTTCAATTGAGTTTTAATTTATTACAGTTCATTTCTGACATTTCGAACGAATTTGTATATTAAAAAATTTTAAAGTATTACTACAATTATGGCTTAAGATGAAGGGAGAGAAACCATATGAATTTGTCACCTATTTTTTTATGCGGTAAAAGTAGTTACATAGAATTTGGCACTTACTGCTCACATAATTCACATTAAATTTATTGAATAAAAGTTGTTTTATAAAAAAATAAAACTTATTACATGAGATTTCTTACTAATTAGATACATAAGTTTCATTTTTTTTATAAAAAAAAAAAAAAGAAAAATAAAATAAGTCACAAATATAGTATAAAACTCATTATAAATTTCAAAAACAATTCATAAAAAAAAAAAAACAAAATTTATTGCATGAAATTTACTACTATTTACTAATTACATAAAATTTACTGCACAAAATTAAGTAGAATTGAAGTTAGTTTGAAAAATTTTTAAAAATATCTTGGCACCTTTTCATCCCTATTCTTTTCTTTTTATACTTCTTTCCGATTTTCAACCATAAATTAGTAATTACTCTCAGTATAATGAAGTATAAAAGAGAGCTACTGGTAAGTGTGTTTGATATGCAGAATGATTTCATTATATGAAAAGAAAGCTATAAAAGAGAATTAATATGGATAAATGAGTTATCATAAGCCCATATCATAATGAAATTTTCCCCTTCCTTTTTCTGTCCCTCTTTCTCTTTCCCTTTTCCCTCTCTCATATGAACTTATTAGGAAAATAATTTGCTTTGAAGTAGAATTTTTAAATGAAGAAGTACATATGCTACAGTGTATATTTGCAGTGGCATTGTGACATTGTCACATTTGTCTCATCTGAAATATTTGTTTTATTGATGATATCGAAATCACACCACCTATTTCATTAAACTTTCTTTTTATTTTACTCATAAAAATTTTCTTTCTTTTTTTTTTTTTTTTTTGCATTTTCCATTTTACCTTCCGTTATTTCATTTTGCTCGTTGATCTTTTCAATACTCACATATGAACTGATAACGAGAAGAGCAATAAATGGCAAAGAACGAAGAGGCGGAGATTGCTCAGTCTTATGTTTAATTATGCTCTTTTTTTTTCTTTGCTGATAAGGAAAATGTTGGTGCGATATCAAGTTTTCCAGTTTTACCTATAAAACGACTTTTAAAAGTTTCTTCCTTTTCCTTCTGCTCTTTTTTTCCTTTTTTTTTTCATTAATGTTAACACAATATATATTAACGAAAGTGATTGTGACAGATAGCAATGATATTGGTATTGGCGGTGATGGGGTGATCGTCACTATGCTTATGTATATGCTCAGTTTAAAAAATATATCAATTTCATTTATCATTTTTTTTTTTTCATTTCTCTGATATATCTATATATTTTATACCTGCATAGATAGATATTTTAAAAAAAGGGAGAAAAAATGAGAAAGCATAAAACAGGAAAAAAATGTTCGCAGTTAGAATTAGTTTCCACTTTAAACATAATTTCATTAATTTCATCCAATCTATGAAGTATAGACATCCTTTTTTTTTCTTTCTATAATTTTTCTTTTTCTCGTGCTATTCGGTTTTGTTCCATTACCGTCGATGTATTGTTGAAGCATCACGAATAACGAGATTTTTTTTTTTGCGAAGAAAAAGAGTGGAAGTTAAAATAAATGAAGGAATATAATGATCGTTGATCTAATGATGATATTGGTTTAGTTGAGATTATCATTAAATTTATTTAAAAAATTCCAATTTGGATGATTCATTTGAGAGAAAAAAAAAATTTTTCATTATTTTTGATGCTTTTTGAAAATTATCCATAATTTGTCTTCTTTTTTTCTTTTAACTTCAATTATTTTTTTTTTTTTTTTTTTTTTTTGTAGGAATTAAGCGACCAAGGGTAAAATGGAATTCATATTTAGCTCCAAATTTGAATTTGAACCAGCACGAAAATGGGCATCAGAAATGGAATGGACTATATTGAATATATCATTGACGTATGTTGTTAGCATTTTTGTCGTCAAATATGCGATGCGTGATCGAAAACCATACGATTTACAGCAACCGCTTGTTATCTGGAATGCTCTGCTGGCTATTTTTAGCATTCTTGGTGTTGCTAAAATAACACCTGTTTTCCTCAAACAAATGGCTACCAAAGGATATATCAGTTAACATTTCTTCATATTTTTGCTTTTACCTATAATATATTAACAATTTTGGTTTTTCAAAAAAAAAAAAATGTTTTGCTTGTATTTTTATATTATTTCAAAAGATGAAGCTATAAATGATGAACTAAATTTCAGTTTTTTTCTTTTTCTTTCCTCTTTTGATGCTTTTTCCAAATTCATTTTATTATTTAGGCACTTTCACTGAAATAGGGCCATGCTTCACTGATGACGTTGCTGGTTATTGGACTTTCTTGTGGATTATCTCAAAGGTTCCGGAACTTTTGGACACGATTTTTATCGTTTTGAGGAAACGTCCATTAATGCTAATGCATTGGTATCATCATGCGCTTACAGGATATTTCGCAATCGTTACATATGCCAATAAAAATGCTTACATGATTTGGGTTGTTTGGCTGAATTTCATCGTGCATTCCTTTATGTACAGGTAGTGTTTGAAAGTCATTACACTGATGTTTCTGTAGGGATGAATATGAAATGCTTATTTTCAAATAAATTACATTTTAACATTGAAGGAACAGCAGTTGTAATTTTAAATACTGAATTTGATAATAGATGTTTTAAATTAAATTTTCTATGTTCTGTTAATTCATTTTTTTTTTTCATTTTTGCAGTTATTACATGCTACGATCGCTTCGTATACGTGTTCCACCACAGATTGCCCAGTTCATAACCTTTGGTCAAATTATTCAGGTGTGTTAATTTCATCGTATTTGCTTATTTATCTTTTGGTCTTTATGTTTGAGGATTTTTCTTTTATTGTATCAGTAATAACAATTCTAACAACAACATAATATATTAAATATTACAGTTTGCTATAACACATGTAGTGATGATACATTTGGCTATTCTTTCTCTCACCACAACAAATAATTATGCTGTCACGTTGCGTGGTTTTGCGCTTGGCACTTTGATGGAAGTGACTTATTTGGTGCTTTGGATACGCTTCTATTATATTTCGTATTATGCAAATGGTGGAAAGAAATATATCGAGCATAAAAAGAATGCTAAAGCTCAACAGTGAGGAATTAAAAAAAAAGAAGAATATGAATTCATTTTATAAACCAATCATTTTGTTATTCAGTTTTATTTCCTTTTGTCAGCTAGCTCATTTACTACATTATGTAGCTTGCAGAAAAGGTTTGACTGATAGCTCTAACGGAATTAAGTAAAACAATCCATTATTTAATATAATCTGTGCAATTTTTTTGTCAAAAAAAGAAGAAAGAAAAACATTTCACTTGTTGCGAATAAAGAAATTTTTTGGCATTATTCCTAATTTTCGTTAGCTTTTTCAAAACTTTCTTTTTATTTTCTCCACTTCTCAGGCAGCAGTATTTACATCATGACTCTTTTTTTTTCCAACCTTATAACCTTATACCTTGAATTCTTAATTAGTGTAAGTCTCATTATCATCATGAAAATGTATTTATCTCTTCCGATCAGTATTGGCATTAATATCAATATTTGTTGAAAGATTTGAAAGTATTAAAATGAAGTTCAGTACTTTGGGAAATTTTTTGGCTTACAGTTACACTAAATTACTTTACTATTAATCCAGAAACATTTATCATTGTATCTATATACATCCATTCCTTTGCTTTTTTTTTTATCCATTTAAATTGAAGAGAAGGAGAAATTCAGAATTCATTCATCATAAAATTTTTTTTTTTTCTTTATTAAATATTAAAGTGTAATTCAGGAAAAATAAATGTTGAATGAAAAATTTTTGATAAATAAGGTTGAAAGTTTTGAACCAGTGCACTGAAAAGTTTGTATGAATTAAAATTTAAGAGTACAAATTTATTCTTACACTTCATTCCTGCAAGAATGATTTTCCCCCCTTTTTTTCAAATATCTGCTAATAAGTTTTTTATTCATAGCAAAATGGAAGGGTATATAATATGCTCGGATGTTAAACAAAAATTCCGCATTGATCGCTCAGTCACTTTTCTAATTAAATATAAAATTTTCAAATTTTTGGGCAAAATAGAATTTCGTATTTGTTTATTGTCAATATACACATTACAATTCAAATTGATTTTTTATCTAATTATGAAGGTAACGAAATGAGATTTTTCATAGCCCAAACTAATAAAATATTAATTACATTGGCAATAAATGAAATCGCATTCCCCAGATCTATGAGAGTTGTTAATTGATGAAACAAGGTGGTTTATAACTTCTAAAACTCATTCCAAAACTAAAACTCCATATGTGTATAGTATGAAATTTTTCCTAATTGCAATACATTTGATTAATCAATATTTCATATCCCCAGATTATGCATTCACAACAATACCTCTGAATATAAAATTTTACAATTAGATTTATCTATTTATTCTTTTTACAAAAAAAGTAAAAATACAAATTTTTTATTTGATAAAGGTAGTGAAACAGTTTAAATCAAAGGTATTAGTAATATTTTCGTGGTGTAATTCTCCTGGACTATTCTATCCGACACATTGACCATTATAACAAAATCCCATTAAGCATTGATTGTTGACACATTGTCCATTTGAAATTTGAAATTTATAACAATGCTATTATTACAATAAAAAGAAAAAATACAATAACTTGAGAATTGTATACTGAAAAAAAAAAAAGGAAAGTAATATCTTAAAATTTGATCCCTGATATGATTGTTACAACATTATAATATGCCAAATTTATAGTAATATTATTTATAATAATATACCAAATTGTTAATTGATATATAAATCAAAGTGATATATTATTTAATGGCTATACGCTTATAAATTTTTCACTTAAATTTAATTTATTTGAATCCATTTGTAAAAAACTAATCCGTTGGAAATGTTTACTTAATCTGTAGTATTATTTGATAATTTCACAAGTTTCTTCTGATTTTTAATCAATATAATAAAACATAATGGAAAATCTTTGTTATAAATATAATATTTGAAATACTCACAATTATTGGACACAGGTACACATTGTGAATTATAACATCCGTGTCCGGTTGGACACTGACCGTTTACACATGGACCAATAGCTGGAATGTTTTATTAAATTATGTTTTTTCTTGTTTAAAAAAAGAAAAATAGGAACTAATAAATTTATCATGATCTAACAAGGTTGTGACAAATTTATTTTCAATAAATTGAATTAAATTACATGAATAGGATGGAACTGGTGTAGCAGGTGTAATAATTGGTGGATAAAATGGATAGAAATCTGGATATACATATGGATATGGTTGTGGTTGATATGGATAATAGCAAAAGATACATTGCCATTGTGTAACTGAAATTTTCATTTAAATTTCAAAAGTTATTGCAAAAAATTTGTTAAATAAATTTTGGATAAATCAAAAAGAGAGAGGAAAACCAAAATTTGTAACTTTTTTCTAATTGATTTCAGTGGAAACATAAAGAAAATTACTTTTTGTTTACATCATAAAAATGTTAGCTTAAACAAATGACAAATTAGTTCCACTGAAAAAAAGGGATAAAAGTAATAAAAGATAAAATTTAAAAATTTGTTGTTGTGCATTTTATTTTTTGTTTAAAAAAAGTTTTTACCTGTATATGGTAATGCAATAAGAAATATTGCTGTAAAAAAAAAAAACATTTTCTGGAATTAATTGAATTGATCAATTTTTATATATACATGAAATCATCATTCTGTTTTTTTTTTTTAACTCTTTTATATCTTAAGTAAATCTTGAAATTGTTTGACTATGGTATTTTATTTGCTGATATTACTAGGTACTGCCAGGTACAGTTGATAATTAAACAAAAAAAAAAAAAGAAAAAAGAAAAATTGTATTTTCCAATATTTTTAAGCTATCGTACTACGACTATTATTGTTTATTTTATCATTTTTTTAATAATTTTATTCCCAATTTTAAAGTATGAAATAAAATGTAAAAGAAATTTAATAAATGATTTTTTTCTTTTGTTTTTTTCTTCGTTTTCTTCTTTTTTTAAAATATCTATATAAAAGTGATGAATGTTAAATACATACAGTTGGAGTTGACAAATGATTTTATGTCAACGATATATAATCATAGAATGTACTTGAAAGAAGTAGGAAAGAAAAAAATTAGAAAGCTTTTGAGATTTAATTCCTGTTTAAATCATTCCTTTCACCATTCTAACCTCCATTAACGGTTTTGTTTAATTTGATCTTGAATTTTTGTTAAGCTTATTTTTTCACTATGTAAACGTTTGATTACTGAATCATCAAATCATCAGTTTGAAGACTAAATCAATCCAGAAATCACAATTTCTATCATAACGTGTTTTTTTAATTTTTATAATATAAGAAGTATCTAGTATTTATTCTATTTAGATTAGTTAATACATTAATAAAATACTGTTTATATATGAAATTATTTATTAAAGAAAAAATAATAATAACAATAATTAATAATAATAATAACAATAGTGATAATAATAGTTTTATTTATTATTTGCTAAAAAACTAAAAAATAATGATTTTTTTATTAGAAAATTTCATGCTTTTAGGCTCCAGTCTTTAATTGATTAAAATCTATTTTTTAGTTAGACCGATTGTGTAACTTAAATCTATCATCTTATCTGCTTAATAAAGATTAGCATATTAAATTTTATTCAACATTTCAAATCTGGGATATGGTATTTCGGCTCATTAAGAGATTTGTTTTGTTGTCATCATAAAGAAATTATTATTATATAATGCAGGGAAGTTTAATTCCTAAAGATCTCTAAATGAGAAAAGTAAATTTATCGAGATTTAAAAAAATAATAATAACAAAGTATAATTAATTTATTGTTCTTCTTGTATTTACAAGCAATCCTTCTAAGCGCAGTTTTGCTTCAAAAAGCAAAAAAAAAAGAAAATTGTACCTGACAAAAATTTAACATTGTAAAATTAGTTGGTTTATTGATGAATCACTTCGAAACATCGATAACAACTTTTGTTTTTGCAGTGAAAAATGGTTTATTATTGATGATTTTTGTTGAGAAAATTTCTGAGTGAAATTTATAGTTTAGTTTTAAAACACATTTTTATTGCTAAAATGTAAAAACGTATGGGCTGGCTTAATATTCTAGCATTCTTTTTTTTTTGTTTCGTTTTTTTTGTATCTGTTTTTATATTTTCTCTGTTTAGTTGTCATATAATTTAGTTTATTCAATGATAGCAATCATATGAATTCATCAAATCACGCCTTAATCTCATTTTATAATTAATTAGATAATGGCATAAGATGAAATATTCAATTCATCAACTCATTTTATTCAATTTTCTTTCACAATGCTAATTTCATGATTAGCTTTAAAGCATACAAAATTTTTTTCATTTCATTGAAATGGAAAAAAAGGCTCTTTATTTTTGTTAAAAAATTTAATTAAAAATGTTACTTTTACTAAACTATTTACTTTTTATTTCTATAACAAACTATCAAAAAAGGAAAAAAAGAAACGAAAGAAAAAAAAAACAAATAGAAAGTAGCAAAGGTATGGAAATATTTATTAATATAACATATTACATATATTTAATTATCTAGCATATTCCGTTCAAAAATATATCCTCGCAAAAGTTTAAACTGTTTCTTTTTTAGTTGACATATTCTAATAGCAAAAATATTGCGAGGGAAGCATATGAAAGAAGAGGTTTAAACACAGAGAGAGAGAGAAGAATATATATATATGTTTGTGCTAGTTAAAAAGTTTTGCTTTACTTTACAAAAAATTAAGCTGTGTGTGTATCTGTCTGTTTCTATCTCTGAATAGGTGTGTGTGTGTGTGTGTGTGTGTGTGTGTGTGTGTGTGTGTATGTATGTATGTATGTATTTTAATTCAGCATATCTTTATAATCAAAGTGTGAAATTTTCTCGTAGGAAAGAGTGATAGATGATAAGTTATTTGATGAAATAACATGTGATTAGGTTGAAATTCAATTTAAATCATAAATTTTCAGTGATCCAATAGACAAACACGATATCATTCATAATTCAACGATGGCTGACCTTGCTGCAAAATTTGCGGAAAATGAAATTACACCTAACATTATTCCAAATTCACCAGCAAAATTACTGAATGTAAGCTATTTCAGATCTTTTTGTTTTCTTTTTTCTTTTTTTTTTTTTTTTTTTTTGCTTTTTTTGTCTTTAATTTATCTCGAAAATATTTTCCCGATTGTAACAATGTTTAGGATCTATTTGTTTTATTTTTATCAAAATGAAAAATTTACACTGAATTTTGCAATTTTTTTTGTGAAAATTTTTTTCAAATTTTGATATATGTTTTTTTTTATGAAAAAATTGTTTGACTTTTAAATATGTCCTTTTCCTTTTTTTTTTTTTTGTTTTTAATTAAAAAACTAAAAAAAAATGGTTGAAAATTAAAAATTTTATCATTTTTGTTAATTTATAGTAGAATTTATTACATTTTGTTAATAATAGCTGTTTATTTATTTTTTTTTTTAAGCAAATGCTTGATTTTTTTATCACTTTTTCTATTATTAATTTAATAAGAATTATTTTCTTGTCCGTATGTCCCTATTGTCTCTTTTTTTCTCCTTCCACCCTCTCTCTCTCTCTCTCTTTGTCCTCCCCTTTTACTTTTTTTTTTCATATAAATATTTACAGTAACAAATAAAGAAGAAACATTTTTAATTTAAATAAAAAATGAAACATTTAAATGGTATTTAATTATTTCAAGTATATCAGATCTACTTTATCACTATAGATAATTCCTCTAATACATTGTATTTTATTTTTTTAAAAGCACATATCTTTTATTTTTTTGTAAGAAAAAAACTTTAAGTCTATTTTGCTAAAAAAAATTTTATTTACAAGGTATGGTATATTGTGCAATTGTGATATATTGTCTTTAAAAGAGAAAAGAAAATTAAAGTTCATTCCAGTCTTATTTTTTATAAGATAACTAGAATATGCAGCTAAGAAATTACTTTTAAAATTTAAGATTGATAAGTTATATATTGATATATGATAAGATGATGATAAGTTATATGAATGATGAATATTAGTTTAACTAGAAGGAACTGTGGGAAAATTATTTGAAATTTAAATTCGAATCTATTTTAAGCTGCATTTATTTGTAGTGCAACTGGGATGGTATACAAGTGCAACCTGGACAAATGATGTCACCACGAAATCTTCGTTTTGCACCACGTGTTACCCTGGATGTTGATCCAGAATCGACATTTTCCATGATCATGATCGGTTTGATCTTACTTCTTGTATATTTGCTAAAATTTTCATACATTGTCCTAAACTTGTCAACAATTTTTATATTTCAAGCAATTTTTCTAACATTCAAATTTGTGCATCAAAAAGAATTACTCCCAACTGTAATCGAAAATTTTGTTCGTTAAAAATGTTTGGCATAAATTGCATTTATTATTAATTATTGTAACTCTATACGTATTTTTCAGAGCACAAAAGTCTCTGAATTTTAATTGTGATCTCAGACTAAGAAAATTTTTGAATCAATAAGTGAAGCAGTTTCAGATCCTGACAATCTGTCACGAAAGAATCCATCTGTAGCCGAATGGCTTCATTGGCTGGTTCATTTTTTATTCAATTGAAAATAATTGCATTGTGAAATTTTATTTTCAAGAAATTATCAAATATATCATTTTTATTAGTTGCATTCCTTCGTAAATTTCTTGAATGAATGATTAAAATAGGCATAATTTAGCCGATTAAAAATGTGATTTTTGGAAATCTTAACTTGATAAGAAATTTCTGGAACATTAAAAAATCCATTTGCGTTTGAAGTATCGCTTAAATTTTGTATTTCAGGTAGTAAATATTCCCGCAAGCAATATACAGGAAGGCATTAATGGAGGTTAATTTATATTATTCAATTTGAAATGACTTCTACCGTTTTAATAAATTATTTTTGTTGCTCTACTACCATTTCATTCAAAAAAAAATAATTAGATCGTTCAGGGCAACATCAAATGGCATATGGAAGTCCTGCACCACAACCTCGAACCGATTTACATCGCTATATAATACTCCTGTATGAACATCAGGGACGACGATTACAAGTCCCAAAAATTAACAGCAGAGCTAAATTTAACACAAAACAATTCGTGGAGAAGTATAAATTAGGTATGGTTTCAAAATTGATTTCTGAAGAAAGAAAAAAAAAACTATGTGCAGGAAAATATACACAAAGGCAAAGCACAACTGATGTTTACAAGCATTTCACAAAATAAGTTTACAAATGCTAACAACTTTAAATACAATTTCTTTTTCTCCAAGCAATATTTTACCTCAAGATTTCAGGTGACCCAATTGCTGGCAACTTTTTTTTGGCGCAAAATGAAGGCTGAACATGGAAATCAATGATGATATGTCTTTAGACACTTGAAGGTCTAATGTTTCGGAGTACAAAATGAATTTTTTTATGTACATTTCAATTAAATCTTCTTTTTTTTTTTTTTTTTTTTGAGAAATATCACTGCCATATGCATGAACGGATAACATCACTAATATCCACAATGGCGCTACTTATAACAAATGATTTTGTAAGCAATAGTTTTCTCTTTTTGATCACCCAAAATGATTTATGTCTTCTGTGCCAGGAAAAAACGCATTTCATTTCCAATTC